GGACCGAAAAAACGGATGCCGAACTTGATAAAGAAGATGATGTAGAATTATTACGAGTAAATTATTTTGCTTTTGAAAAAAAAAAACAATTTTTTTTCTATTATTCTTATTTGATTTAAAGACATCATTGGATGAAATTCGTATATCACAACAACCGGAAATAACACGACCTATATCATCAGCAGCCACTGATCGTCTTGGACAACATTCAAAAATTGTATTTTATATTTATTTTGAAAATTAATAGTTTATTTTTTTTTAATATTTATTTAGAAACGAATTATGGTTTATTTAAATGGTGAACCAAAAGAAACAGCTATACAATGTTTTGGCAGTAATTTAAATGAATTAATGGATAATGCTAAATTTAAATGGAATTTAATGCAACCAATTCAAGCATTATTTGATGAAAATGGACATTTAGTAAGTTTGTTGATAAAAAAAAAAAGATTTCAAATCTGAAAATTGCACAATAGATTCTACGATACAACTCGCATCTATGATGAAACTTTCAGCAAGATTGAATTCCAAAAAAACTTTCTTTCTAAAAATCTATTTTCTAGAGATTGTAAAGAAGAATTTGTATTGTTTACAATCAACTTTGAAATTCTCATTCAGTTATAAGAGCATGTTCTTTTTATATACTTCGTTACTTTGCTAATGAGAAGCTAATTAATGTTTTTGGAAAATCTAGGCATGTTTAGAAAGACTTTTGGATTGAGATTTTGTAGCTTCAAATACCTCTTCGAAACAAAGTTCTATACAGCTGATTTCATCTAATTTTCTTTTGTGAAGTTTCATCGCTCACTAATTATTTTGTTCATACAATAGATTGAACGATTTGATCAATTAAATCGTGATCAATATGTATGTGTCTCAACAACTAAAACCTTCATCACATCATCTGAAAAACAACGTGAAGTTGATATAAAAGCAAATTGGGCTCGTACACGTAATAAATATGGTGATCAAGCAACAGATATTCGTGTTAATTCAACACTTTCATCAGCTCCTCAATTAGTTGATCCATTTGGTCCACCACTATTAACGTTAAATGATCAACAGCAAACTCGTCCAACAACAAAACCACCAATAGTACCAGCGCCATTTTATCGAAGATTAGCTATTGAACAACCAGCACCAGCATCAGCTGTTGTCAGTGAAGTAACACCATCGCCAACGATTATGAAAGATTCATTATTATTAAGTGATAATGATAATGATGATGATGACAATGATGATGGACCCAATAGTGAGATCGAACGAATCACCAATGTCAAAAATGATGATGACGATGATGATGGACTTAATAGTGAGATGGAACGAATTACAAATGTAAAAACTGATGAAGCTGAAAGTAGTCGACCAATAACACCAAGATTTAAAGCACAAGCAAGAAGTCCTTTTTCACAATTATTTACTAGTGAACCACCACCAACTAAAACACCTGCAAGTGTACCATCGACGACTAAGTCAGATAGTGATGAAGATGAATTCATAGCGATGTTGAAAAGAAAATAATAATAATTCGAATTTAGAATGAGCATTAATATTGTATGTTTGTGTGTTTGCTTGTGTATGTTGTTTAACAAGAATTCAATAAAATGTAATTGAAAATTTACCAAGATTTCATCGTTTACGAGGATGTGGTGAGAATATGCGAGGAGAAGATCTATACCTTCGTTCACGTGGAAAAATGTTACTTATGTACAGTAATACTGCTTAGTTCAATTCCATCCGAGCCATATCCTTATCGGAGTAACTATTAAGCTGATCCAACTTGTCTTTTAGCCAACATTTCTGTAGTTTTTTATTTCAAGTGATACTAGAACAAGCCACGTGGACCCGACAATGTGTACAGCAGTCTGCAATCGATGTAACGTTTGAAATAAAGCTAGTATTGTTGCCATTGATGTCCTTGTCAACTTTGACATGATCACACTTCACTGTTGACACATACAATCATAGATGGACGCCATATTCTGTTTGATACTGTCATATATAGTACCTGGCCTCTCTATGATGCCTGTATATGAATTCATTTTGGTCATCAATGGTGGTTGCAACGTGTGCTTGAGCCAACAACAATTACAATTTTGAAGCCATATGAACATGGCACAGCAAGAATTCGCTCGGCACAAATCACAACAAGCTTCGACTCGTTTAATATCGGTTCTGTCTAAGTCCAAACCCACTTGAACAGTAGGATAGATGTCTAAGAGATCAATCCTCGAATAAAGTGAATCATCGATGTTTTTCTCGGTCAACTTACTAGTATCCACATCGGAAATAAGCTGTCCATCCACATAATGAGCAATCATCGATGTTGTTTCTGAATCATTTATTAAATCCAAATCAAGTATGAGGAATTTTGCACCTTTCTTATTTGAAATCATGCCAAGAAAACGTTGAATTTTTTTTTCGAGTTCATCCTTATCTTGTAATAATAGATTGTTAATATTTAATACATACATATGACCAATGTAGACTTTTGTTAACATTTCACCACGTTTAAGGCATACTACATCTTGTATTTGTAGTCGCTTGATAAGATCAATCTTATTTTGAATTCATAATGTTTGAGCAATAAATACTTCTGTATAATTGCCTAATTGTTTACGATCATCTTTCAAGAGATTTTGAATGTCTTTTTTTTGTCATATCGTCGAATGAAGACAATGAATGATACTTTTCAACGAGAGCGGCAAGATTTTGGCGAAATCGATCTACAGAGTGTCCCAAAAGTTAATTTACACTTCGTAGTGTACACATTGCACACATTCGAAGACTATATGTAATTATTCATTAACTATAATTTATAAATCATTTTTTAGTCTCTGTAAGATGTCCCAAGCGTGCGTTCGACAATAAGTAACGATTTATGAATAATGAACAATGAAAAAACAATTTCCAAATCTACCACAATGTGTGCAGTGCGAAGTGTAAAGTGACTTTTGGGACATCCTATAGCATACTGATCATTCTATTATTATTCACTGATACTTTTAGTAATGATCGTTCGATTTTTATACTGATCATTTGTTCTTTATAGTGATCATTCATCTATTTTTTACTAATCAGGCAATCTATTTTACTAATCAAATACTATGTTCCCATAAAAAAGATCTTAAAAGTATTTAAAACATATAAATCGAGTCAGTTATTAATATTAATTCCGAATATGATATTAGTTTTGACTCAAACTGTTATTTGCTAACCTAAAACCAATAAATATCAGTTAACAAAGTGAAGAGTCACCGCCAGAGAACAGGATATTTACGCATTTCTCAGGTGATTTGGCGCTACGTACACGACATTAATAATAATTTCTTTTCGCTTTTCGAATCATTCTGATAAGTTCTTCACTTCATTTAAGCTATTAAAGGCGCAGTATTTTTCATCGTTTGAATGATCTATTTATATTGACACTATTTTTTTTTTGCGTCTTACACTGTTGCTTGTTTGTTTTCCGGATGACTTGCTTCCTACTTTGGCAGCAGGGCAATACTTTCCGTTCGGCTTTCGTTTCTTATTACTACTCTTTTTTCGTTTTGTTTTTCGAATAAGCACTCTCTGAAAAAAAACTGCACATGACAAAAGTAAAACATTCACGAGTACAGTTGGCAACAAGTGGCGGCCCAGAAGCAAAAAATACTATACTTGTTCGATGAAATTCATTTCATATGAAGTATACAAACCGATCTTCATTTCTCTATGATGTGAGATGGTTGGAACTGTTCAAAATTAGATAATGGCTAACATGAAAACATTTCGTACCATCTCTATTTGATAACTAGATCATTGATACTTAATAGAGCACGACTATTCCAAAAAGATTCTTGCATTTTACTTCATGTTAAAATAAATAAAACTTTCATTATCATGAACATGTGACAAATTTTTCTTAAAGCTGATACAAAGATTCAGAATTTTCAATATAATTTACTTTTTTTAATTGAAATGGATATTTCAAAAGATTTTATGTTTCATCTTATTCCTCGATAAAAAAAAGGAAAGAAAATAGCATAGCTTGTTCATTCTGTCTTCCACTGTAAAAGTATGTACCTTTACAAAATATTTATAACAAAAATTGATCTTTCTTTACCCAAGTCTTAGGAGTAAAACTAACCTTCTAAGATAGTTCAATGTAAATAAAAAGATCGAAATTTAGGTATAGGCTGCTTTAAATTCTGGTAGATATAGAGGATGCATCAAAACTATTCAACGACGCTTATTTTCAATTCTTTTCTCCTGTCGTAAGCGCTAGCAAGATTTCAAAAAGCAATTCAAATAGAGAAAACTGTCTCGAAAAATAATATAAGAAAATAAAAAATTTTCTATGATGTTTTTTTGGCTGAGAGATAGTAATTTTATTGAATATTAGCAAATGACTTTTCTACAGGAAATAGTAGCCAAACAACTTGAAGAACTTCCGCGACTTTGCTGTATATCAGCTAAAAACATTGCGTAAAATTCTGATTTGTCATTGATTTTCGTCATGCACTCACAAGATGCTCTTTATCGCAAGACAACACATACGAATAGTGCGATTAAATAGTGAATATTGATAGTGTAGCTTTATATACTGAATACGAAATTTCAATAACTTTCATTAGATTATTAATGTTTAATTATTCGAATTCTTTAAAACTCTTTTACATAATATCAGCAATCATTTAATTTTTAATTAGGTATATATAATAACTCTGGCAGTCTTATTTGTCCTTATTATCACCACTCTATAAGATACATAAAAGTAAGAATGATTATTTATTTTTCAAAAATTATACAAATAAAGTTGAGAATCAATCCGCTCATGTTCACTGGAAGATACATTTTCGTACAGATGTCTCTGTTATACAGAACAAATATTGTAATCAGATTGGTTTATCGTAGTATTCCCTTAACCTCCTTCAATTTTGATCAGCTGTTGGTTGTATAGTTTCCTATCCTTACGAATTTCTTTCTATTTCAAATTATTCAAAACGAAAATTTTTCTAATGTCTACAATCTCTTCTTTATCGTCTAGTCATCCGATTGCATTACAATTTTCAACTTATCCAAATACTCAACTAGTCGTATGTATTAATCCGTTACATGAATCTAAACAAGATACTCTACCAACATCATTGATTACACCAACAAGTTCAGACTTATTTGATAATGATGACAAATCTTCTGACAATAATGTACAAGCATTTATTCTTCGACTTTGTCATCAAAGATCACGATTAACACGATTGTATGATTTAGAAATCGAACATCGACAATCAACATCACAATTAATTACTTTTCTTGATAAAATTGATCAATTACTTAATGAATATGAAAATCACAAATCTAATAATCTAATTACAGGCAATCACACTAAAATATTTATGCGAAAACTCATAGTTTTTGTTTTTTCTGTTGAATTTTCAGGTGATACTACAAACACTAATAAACCTCTAGATGATGAATCATATTCAACCTATTTTAATGGTAAGTAAATATGGTCAAAAAAATTCTTTTGATAGATAGAAAAGATAATTTAATAAATTTAGATGTTTCTTCTCTCAATGATTCTAATGACGTCGATGCAAATGAGTTACTTGTTGAACAAGCTTCAAAGCAATCTGAAAGACTTTCAAATAAAATACATGATGACACAATGATTTATGAGCAAAGTGCACATGCAGATTAGTCAGTAAACTTAAAAGCCTTTGTTTTTCTTTGAAATGAATAATTTTATTTTTCTTATAGTGATGATCATTCTTATTCAAAAATAAGTCGAAATAATAAATTGCCAACAAAAAAATCCACAGTAAATAATTCTTTGTTTTTTTCTTATTGAATGATTGTTTTCTATAGATACTTCAACTTAAACGTTATAAATACGAAGGATGTTGTCCATTAACAACACGTACTTATGGTCTTGATCCAATCAAACATGGTATTCGTCATTTTCCATGTACACGTGTTACAGCACCAATTAATCTTTGTAATAGTTAATTTTCATTTAATTTTTTTTTAATGAAATTTATTATTAGATAAACATTTAATACAATATCATCAATTAACACATTCACCAACAATGCAAATTGTACGATTACTTGCTGATGAAAATGAAGAAGGTGATATTGATTTATTTTCATCTCAATCAACAAGTCTTATTGCAACACATCCAACTGTTTATCGTGCACAATGTCCATTAAATCAATATGGAAAATTTGGTATTACAGCTGAACATAGAATTCGTTTATGCACACAACCTAATCAACCAATTGGTGCACCATTAATTACACCAAAAGATGTTTGTTTATACGATCATTTTGGTTAGTATTAACTTAGCTAAATAATACCAAAGAAAATATAGTGCAAAGCTTTCGTTTGAATTTCTATTCATCATAAGTGCAGACATATGTGCAAATGTTTTCAAGAACTTGTAATCTAAGAAAATTTAATTGATTTTTTTCATTTGTTTGACAAATTCATACAAAACTGACTGAAAAGAGATATGTAATGAATATCATGTTTGTTTCTCAGCAATATCTAGTTAATAAGAGAAAGATTGTGACAAGATTAAGACGCAAGGTTTCATCGGATTTTTTGCTCGCCAGTTTTGAAAAACATGTTCGGCTTCTCTTCTCAAAAATCTTCTAATTGTCCTCTTGGCGATCTCGAAATATCAACTGAATATTCTTCTTGATTGATTAATCAATTATGTTGAACTTCCATCAAATTGTTGAACGATGATTTTTGTTTTCTCTATTTAAGTTGTATATCATCAAATGAAACGTTCATGTGCTCAACGTTTAGCTGAAGCTATTGTTAAAAATAAAACTGAACCGGTGTTTCGTCCCGATGAACAATTATTAAATGATACATTCTACATTCAATGTCCTTTACGACATCCGAAAGCTATTTGTTGGAAATCACCGATCTCATCTCGTCATATGGGTCAACATTTAACTGGTATACATAAACTTGATGGAATAGCAAGACGTCAAATAATGATGACACTTCGAAAACAACCATCATCATCCGATACAAAATTACCTAAAACAACTTCTTTTTAATATTTTTTTTTGTTGCTTTGCATAATCTATTTTAAATCAACTATGAGCAGTATTTTTTGTTCCATGATATATATATATACATATATATATATTTATTTTTAGATATGTCATCAATAAATAAAAATGAATATCGACAAAATGCATCCCCTGATGATGATGATGATGATGATGATGAGAATGATGAAGAAAATTTTAATGATGAACAAGAAGAAGAAATAAATATACTCGAACAAGTACAAGGATTGTTTTCATCAGATATATTTCCAAATGTGATAGAAATGTTTCGAGCTTATCAATCACAATTTGATCTTGTCGAATTTCTTAAAACACATCAAATTGTTTCTCAATATGATTATATTCGATTAATTAATTATATTCGTCTCGAAGTCAGTTTTTAATTTAAATATTTCTTAATCAATTTTCTTTATCTATGTAGAAACCTTCAATGGACGATTTAAAACAATTAAAACCATCGACATCACCACCATGGGCAGATGATAAATATTTTACGACTGTTATTGATAATGATCCAGCTTTACAATTTGGTAATAGTAATAAACAAAACTAATAAATTTTATCTCGACTTTTCTGTGAAACACAATCTAGAAAACCTACTGTGAGAGATAGAAAAAAAAAACAATATTCCTGTGATCATCAGTAGCACTTACATTGTGTTTCACATTTTAGTGTGACAAAGATTTTCCTAACAGTTTTCTTTTCGTGTTTAAGATATTGAAGAAGATTTAAATCAACTTGGTGATTTGACCATATCAAAAACTATTCACGAAAATGATCAGTTAATAAAAGCTAATCAAAGAATTCGAGAATTAGAAGAAATAGTTGAAACATTAAAGTAATTTAAAAAGTTCTTTTCTTTTTATTCTCCAAGAAATTATTTCATATTTTTTGATAGATCGATGACATCTCGATTATTAGATGATCAATCTACCGGTGTAACAACAACATCAAAAGCAAAAACTAAAGATGATATTCAAGACGATGATTATTTTGCTACATATAATCATTATGATATTCATAAAGAAATGCTTCAGGTATGGTAAGTAAAAGGATTGATGAATTTCTATTGTTTTGAATTTTATCATTATTCTAGGATAAAATTCGTACGGAAAGTTATTTAAAATCAATAAAAGAAAATGTGGATGTATTTCGTAATAAAATTGTATTAGATGTTGGATGTGGAACGGGTATACTTTCTATGGCATGTATTAAATATGGACAAGCAAAAATGGTTATAGCTGTTGACATGTCAGATATGATTTATGATGCTATGGCTATTGCTAAGTAATTTTTCTTTGTTTGAAATAAAGTATTAAAAGAAAAAAAAACAAGATGTTTTTATTTTGTCTAGAGAAAATAATATTGATGAATCGAAAATTGTTTTTATTCATGGAAGAATTGAAGATGTGAATTTACCTGTTGACAAAGTAAAGAATGAATTTTATTCATTTTAGAAATTAAATTTTTAGATCTTTTTAAAAAGGTTGATATTATCATATCTGAATGGATGGGTAAGATAAGAATGTGTTGAGAAGAAATATTTACTCTAAATAATAATTTTTTCAGGCTATTTTCTATTGTTTGAATGTATGTTGGAATCGATTATCTTTGCTCGTAATATGTATTTAGACAAAGAAAATGGTTTGGGTAAGTTATCTATTTATTTATACGAGTAAATAAGTCAAGACTAGAACTATACGGAACCAAGTTTTTTCTCTCGATTCCGAAGTTGAAAAAATTATTCTAGAATTTATGTGTATCACATCTAAAAAAAATTCATCAATATTCGTTTTTTGCTTTATTTCGTCGACGACTAGCTGCTTTTTTCCCCTTTCACAGGGATTAAAATTGCTTCTCCAAGCATCTTGTCTATGTTTCCAAAAAGCGAATAATTTACTTCTAAGAGATTTTCGTTAATCAACGATAATCGTAATGAAGTTAAAGTACCAATTGATACAATGTGTTTGTTTCGATTCAACAAGTCATTCGAGTTATCTTTTTCTTATTGTTTTTATAAGCATTACAATAATTTGACTTCATTAACAATCAATGCTAGTTCGAACCCGGCAGATTATAGTGTAGAGATTTTACTCAATTCAATCGAAATATAATTTTATAAAAACTTTGAGATTAGACATATATATATTTTTTTTTCATGCCTTGAAATATCTCATTTTTAGTATTACCTGATGATTTTTCCATACATATGTCGGGTTTTCATTCGGATAATCTTTATCATGAACATATTGGTTATTGGTCAGATGTTTATGGTTTTGAAATGAATACTGTTGCAAAAAATATTCTTGTTGATGGTCATGTTATGATTGTACCAGCAAATGCTATCATGACTAGTGATTGCTGTATTAAAGTAAATTGAATAAACTTCTTTTTTTTTTCTTCAATATAAGCTTATTTTTAGACGTTGGATATTTATACATGTTCAAATGATGATATTACTTTTACACATCCATTTACTGTTCAAGCACTTAAATCTGGTTCTATATCAGGTTTTGTTTGTCATTTTGATGTGAATTTTGCTAAGAATCTTATTGAAAAGGTAATATATTGCCTTAAAAACCAAAAACAATTAAGTTTTTGCTCTACATGTTTTTCTTATTGGACTAGTAGCGAATATTTATTTTCTGATTTTTCTAGGTGCATTTTTCTACATCACCTCGATCACCAGATACTCATTGGAAGCAGACAGTATTCTTTTTACCTCGACTATATAATGTTCAAGAAGGTGAGAAGAATATTAATTATTCAATATAGATACATGTTTCTAAATAATTTATTTTATTAGGTGAAGAAATAACTGGAAAAATTTCATGTCAAAGACATCCAAATGAAAAACGTGGTCTTGTTATTCATTTACATGTATTCGATTCAAAATTTAAATTCTATCTAGAATAATGAATTTTGTTCGATTGTTATTCTTAATTTTTTTTTCTTTTGTTTGTTGTTGAAAAGAAATAAAAAAAGAAACATCAATTAGCGGGGATCAGAAGAAAAAAGACAATATTTTAATAAGAAGTTTCTTTGTGCAATAATGTTTGAAGTATAAGCGAAAAAAAGAATATGATTTCTTTGTTTGTTGTCATGGCATAGAGATTTTTCTTCAATTTTATATCATTTGATGTTATTCTTATAAAGAAAAAGACCTTCTGGGTCTATTTTTTTAACTTGCTTTGATAGTGATTGAAAAGTAATTGTAATACATTTGAATAGAAAGACAAAAGGAACAGATGTGATGCTTTAAAAATCGTTCAATTATTATATCTATTTAAAACTCTTACAAAGAAATTATCCGTTGTGATACGTCACATTCGAAGTGAAACATCCATCATTACGTAGGACCTGTTGACACTAGAAGAAACCTAGAAGTCATCAGTCTTTCTACTAAAATGATGAATACTATGGGCCCATTGCCTAACATAATTTGATGCTAACTCACTTCAGAAATATTCAACAAGAGATTCATATAATAATAAGTCATCATTGCTAGACAGTCACGATCTAAGTCGTGAATATCAATGGTATTGTGTTCGAATTTTGGTACTACTATGCTAACAATCCACTTGGGACTGGTTATTTACGCTTAACATCTTGAATCATCAGTTCGTCAGCATTTACCACCGCTTAAATTGGTTCCTTTAATCTAATCTCATGATATATATTTAAAAGACAGTCGATGTAATACGTGAGAAACTCAGTGAACAGGAAAATTTTATGACTTGCCAACCTTCTGTCCAAAGCTATGATTTGGATGCCATTAAGAAAATGATTTATAATAATCAAAACGCAAAGAATCTTTGTCGGGTATGTAGTCATTAGAAAATCTAAAAATGGTGAAGAATTGCAAAATTAGTTCAGATTGTGCTTTTTCTGGAATCTTACTTCTCGAATCAGATAATTAACGAAGCGAGAAAAAAACCTGATCATAAGAAAATTGAATTTTTCTTTATTGTTCTTTCTTTTTTTGCATTACTTCCAATGGTCACCTAACACATAAAATAAAAGTAAGAAATAACCGACAACGGATGCTGAGCTCTTATACTCTAAAACCTACTTATTTTACAGAACAATTATAACATTCGTTAACAACACCTTTCCTTAACGACATCCATCGACAATCAAATTCCAACTACGTAGTAGTAAAGATAGAAAACAAAAAAAAATTCATAAGTAAATAGTTCGACAGTGCCGATGTAGAAAATTTATTTGTCACTAAAAAAAACTTTCTTATTTTCTTATTGATCTTTGCGTCAATAAAAAAATCTATCACTTGTAAAATACTCATTTCATCGTATTTTTATTTGTTTAATTGAAACTTTATATCTGCTCGTTTCTAACAATATGATAAAATAAATTTATTTCACTATGCATGAACGAAATCTTTCTTTTTCTTTTTTCTTTTTTCTTTCTTACCTCCTTTTCGTCTTAAGGGATTTTTTTCTATTTGGATGAAAAAAAAATCTGTATTCCATTTGCTTCATCATAGAAACATATTGATCAGCACTGTGCTTTGTTGTTGTTGTAGTCGTTGCCAGTTCTCTTTTTCTTCAATTTATTTTTGTATATGAAGTAACGATATATTGATCAGATTGATTGTCAACGAGTCATTGTAGATGTTTGAATAGACCTCTTCGTTTATTATATGTTTAACATTGTTGAAAATTATCAATCATTAATATTAATGTCTATTTCTTCTAGATTTTGGTTTACAAAGTATTCAATTAATTTTTCAAATAAATGTATTGAAAATTATGAGTGACAACGAAGATACAACAACAAAGCCTCCATCAACAACACTTGGAGCAATGGGTCTTCTGGCCAATAATCCGTTAGTTGCAGGTTCAAGTAAGACAAGATTTTTTAATTTTAGAATTTTTCTTGAAAATTTTTATTCTTAAGGCGAACTACAACAAACAGAGTCCACAACAAATATGAATAATGATATTAGTAAAGAACCAAGTAATGATGATTTTGGTAATGAAGATAATGAAAAAAAAACGAATGATCTTCTTAATGATTTACAATCAGAATCAATAACACCTGATGATAATAATGTTCTTTCTGGAAGAGCAATTACATCTGGTCGTTTAACTACTGATCAAGATAATAGCTCGACACCGAATATAATTGATTCATCAGTCAATCATATTAATCAAGCTCCGAGACGATCCATGAGTGAATCAGTTCTTATTGATCATCATAATCCAATTGAAAAACCACCACCATTACCTATTCAACAAGATGAAAGTTCAACTGATGGTGACGATCTTGGTAGTGTTCAAACAAGAACAAATGATACTGGCAATGATGATTCCATTAATCAATATCGACAAGATTTATCAACAGAAGAACAAGAAAATAATACAAATCGTACATTCGATAATGATTCTTTGCATTCAAAAACAGAACCTATTATTGATATTAAACGACCATCAAGTGCAACGAAACATGATATTCTTGATGAAACAACCCGTTTTGCTACGACATCACCTAAACCATCAACATCAAGAATACAATCTGCAACTAGTAAACGATCAGTATGTATTATATCAAATAAGATTTATTTAATTTTAAATTAAATAATTCTTTTTAAAGCAATCAATTGTTGAGGATGAAAAACGAGTTACATTACCTGATGAAACTAGTTTCAATACAGGTGGTAATAATCAAGAGGTCGCATCTATGGTTCGACCTGCATCACGAGCTAAATCACATTCATCAACATCTGATGATTTACATAAAACTGTGATAGATGTTGAATCTCAACGACCACAATCACCATTTGTTGGTGAACAAGCTCAACCATCATCACGAGTAACAAGTCCACAAATAACAAAAAGTGATACAAATATATTAACTATTGATCAATCATCTCCATTAAATGATCATGACGAGGAACAGAAACAAACGCTCGAACCATCAACAGCTACAATATCATCAGCGTCAAGACGAGAAAATACAGATAAATTGGATCAACAACAATCATCTCGATCATCAAGTGCTATTAAATCAAGAGTTAATGATAATTCTGAAGAATCATCAACAACGAAATTAAATAATGATTTCATAGCAACAAATGAACAATCAAAATTAATAAAACTTGGCGAACAACTTCAAATACCAACAAATGATATTGATAATGAACAAATCAATAGTCCACCACCATCTCCATCAGGTATTAAACAAATAGTATCAACAAATCCTGTCTTAGAAAGTAATCTTGTTACAACAGATCAAGATCGTTCTCGAACACCAAGTGAAACAAATCGTAAAAGTTTGACATCAACGTCAATTAGCAATGAAAAAGTTATTGATGGTGATGTTGTCTCATCAAAAAGTCGACGAAGTAGTACTACAAGTCAACAACAACGACAAACGACTGTTACTGATCAAAAATCGAATTTATCGTCAAGTCGTACAGAAAGTAGTGCATCTGAACAGCGAGTTTCTAGTAAACGAGGAAGTATTACTAGCGAACGAAAACCTATTAGTCGACAAAATTCATTGGATCAACAAAGAAAAACACCATTGAGGTTTAAAATAAAAAAACAAGGAGGTTTTATTTTCTAAATTAGATATATCATCTTTTTTAATTTCTAGCCAATCATCTAGTCGAAAAACAAGTTTAAGCGAACAAAAACAAGTTCCTAGGTGTGTATAACATACAGTCCGATTAGTACGTTTTATTTTAACGTATATCCACTGTATAATACAGTTAAAACTGAATGAATATTGATTTCTTTTTGCCCTTAAATTTTTAGTGGTCGAAAAAGTGAACAGCAATCAGCTACGGGCCGTGAGAAACAAATATCTAGGTTTAATATTTAAAAAGAGATGTTTTTAGTTGTTACAGTGTAATCTTATTTTTTATCTAGTTCTCGTCGTGCAAGTTCTACAAAACCAGAACCAACAATTACTAATAATGATACCAGAGACAGTCGTCGTTCATCAACAGATACTGATGTTCCTCTTCGAACATCAGCTAAACAAAAACAAGAACGTATTTTATCAACTGATAAACGACAATCATCATTACGTCAACGTTCTGGACAACAATCAATAACAACAGATCAAACTGTAGTTACTCCAGTAATAGTGGATTCAAAACAATCTCAACAACAAAATGGAAAAGTAAATTAATAGGAATTGACCATTTTATTATTTCTTGGTTTGTTTTCTTTGTTTTTTAAGCGTGCATCAATTACAGATTCTGATTATGAACAGTTAAATACTTCAAAATTACCACGAGTTAGTTCAACATCACAACAAGATAACTTTCATCATTCCGCAGTTAAACAAGCATCATCATCAGAAACAACAACACCTAGAGAAAATAATCAAACATCACAATGGACTAAAGCTCTTGTTCCACCAATTCAAGTGACTGATGATGAAACTCCATTATCAAGACCACAATCACCAAATCCTCAACAAATCGCTGAACATAATCGAATTTCAGCAAAAAATAAAAAACGAAATACTAGTAAATTAGAATTTGCTTTTTAATTAAATTTTTAATTAAATTTTCTTTTCAATTTTAAGATGAACAAAAAAAGAAAGAACAAAATCGATCATTACATCGAAGTAATAGTGCTGAATCGTCTAATTATATTCCACTTGTTGATGATAAATCAATCGATTCGACATCGGATGTTAATACAGAATATGGACAACAAAAACAACGGCGTATTAAATCGAAAAAAAGAGATGTTGAAACTAATACGGATCAAAGGATAGATTCAAAAAAACAAGGTGAGATTACTTTGTCACTTTTGTAAAGCAAGATCTAAAACAAGTGTTGAAGTGTAGTAGCGGTAAATATTTGGATCTCTTCCTCACGAACGTGACAGTTGTCAATATATGATCACTGGAGCCTTTCAGAACAGTTCAAAATTCTGTTTGTACCATCTGACGGAACAATCCTTTAAATAAATAATAGGAAAATGAACTAGACTATCACTCAATCAAAACTCGAGTAGAAAAATCCGCTGACTATACGAGCCCGAAAATTGTTCGAATGCGATCCTATCCTACATTTGCTAGTTCTAATTCTTAAACTTTCATAGAGAAAATCATAATAAATTCTGTTTGTACTCAGCTATCTGGCTTCAGTTGACAAGTCAAAAGGCAATAAATTTGAAATAAGTATTCTGCATAACGTCTGATACACTAATGATCTTTTCAGAGAGAGTTATATATGATCATATCAAGAAACTCTCAGTTGTTAATTATCGTTGTTTTGCATTTCGATAGCCCCGAAATAGAATCGAGTTTTTAAAAAACAAATTTCAAATAGACTTTTGGTACTCTATTTGCGTCATCTTTTGCTTGAAAAAAATATACTTTTCATTTTTTTTGATCGTGGAATACAATATTCTTGAAGGAATTTCATCGCAACCAATAGCTTCTTTTTCTGTTTGCAAAAGTATGAAAAGCTGCAGAACTCGTTTTTTGAATTAAGCTATTTTACTATTATTATTGTATAAAAAATCACTTCTATAAATAAAGGACTACTTGAGAGTTTTTCGACGTATTGAGCTTGTTATGCTTTTTCTGCGCATAAGATGTAAGAAAATAAAAAAGAACTTTGTCAGAGACGCTTTTGCAAATAAAAAATATTGGCTATACAGAATGAGGATCCACAGGTAGTTTTGAGTTGCTAAGGGGACTATTTGCGATAAATGTATTTTGAAAACATCATCGTACAGAGCTGAAAATTTCATGCGATTTGAATGTACTTGTGCCAAGATTGATTTGTAAAGGTGAAGTCTAAATAAATGTATGAATCATTTATTTTTTTAAACAACAAAAATTATCGATAGCTCAATTTAAAACATTTCTATGATATTGTCCAGCAAAATTTTAATTCTCATTTTCTAGAATCAACTCCTCAAAAACCTTTAAAAGCAACTAAACCAATATCGGATCATCTTCAAAGCACAAATCGTCGTTCTACAACAAAAGAACGAACTTCAACATCAACACCTGATACAGAACTTGATTCCAATAGACCTATTGTTCCACGTTCAGTTAAAAAATCCACTAATGATAATGAACCAGTTAACGTTAATGTAACTGTTCTTGTTAAAAATTTAACTGATCAAGATAATAATGAAATGTCTCAAAAACCACAAAAGAAACAAAACATAATTAAATCATCAACCGATTATGATCGCCATACACAATCGGATACTGAACAAATTATAACTGAAAAACAAAAGAAACGTCGTCGACCTAAACGTATATCACGTACAACACAAACATATGAATGTGTTTTTCGACGTATGGAACGTGAACAACATGAAGAATTACGTCCAACAAATGATACAGATAAAAATATTCAAACACGAAAATCACAATTATGTCCAAGATCAAAATCACCAAGAAAACATTATCCAACTTATATATCAACTGATGCATTCAAGTTGTTTTATTTCTTCTTTTTCGCTCGTCCTTTTTGTATTTCTAAGTAATAGTATTATTATTTTTATTCTAGAATTGAAGAAATTCTACCAAAACAATTTCCACAAACTCAACGTAATGCATCAAAAACATCAATGGTTGCTCGAACTATTTCACCACAAAATGGTAAATTATTAATTCTTCGTCCAACACTTCCTTTTCATCATACTGATGCTGTTAATGTACAACGTGTATGTCTTCAATATGCTATTGATTTAATTCCTAATGAAAATAAATTAAACGATTCACCATATGCGCAACGAAATAAATCACACGCTCTTAAACAATCCGAACAAACAACTAATTTACCTATGATACGTTCATCATCACCAGCAACAAATATGCCAACAAATAAATCAAATGCTAAAGATAAACCAACTTCGAATAGAATTGAAGATCGTATTCATCAACGTAAAAATGGTGGTGCTGTTTGATAATATATCTATAGATAAATCCAATTTAATATTTAAAAAAACTATTTAGCTAAGCGTGTCTGTGTTTGATTTTTATATACTTATAATTTCTTTTCAAAAAAAAACAAATATTTTAAAATAAATGAAAAATATTCAAAAATCAAAAATTGAATTTTATTAGATTTGTCGTGATATACGTATATTTTCAAGGGATGTACTACAAGGTCTTGGTGATATAGTGTACGCTATAGAGAATCGAATATGATCAAATAATGATTGATAAGTCGAGTTTACATCAACTAAATATTGTATTTATTAGAAGATATCGTTCACGAATCGCTCGAAGCCAATTAAACAATAATTCAAAACCATGTATTAGTGAGTTGTATTCAAAACCAAATACCATATTTCGTTTGTTCATCGGTATAAATATCTATCTATTCAAAGCTTTGTTCATGGTAATCTGGATAACGTATTGGTGAATCAACTAATTTCCATAATTGAATACACTTATTGAATTTCAGCATAATCCATTGGTTTTGTTTTGCTCTTTTACAGTAGTCAGTACATCAATATAAAAAGAATTATATATCTTATATCCTAGACACGAACTAAAATCTGCTTCAACTACCATGAATACGGTAGATTCTCCTTCAATAGTAACAGTAATAATTAGAAATAATTTCAACATAGATGTTTTTGTCAATAACGAAAACTAAATGATTGATAAAATATAACTTAGTTTTCGCGTAAGTAATCATGTAATGTTATGTTCAATTACCCGTTTAATAAAATAAAAAGAAAACAATAAAACGTCTATTGAATTTTACTTTCATCTGAATGAATGAAGTGCCTAAAGGAAAATTTCATTTTGGATATTTAATCGAAAGATACAATATAAAACATTATTATATGACCACATTTGATCTCAATAAAAGGAATCGCGCCCATTTCCAAAGTTTCTCAAACCAAAAAAACTAAAAAACGTTCCGCTTTTTCAGCCGTAATAAGTCCGATAGAAATGATACTTATCTTAGAGATACTAGATACTGTTTGGAGTGCCTACTTTTTTTTCGGTTTGTTTTTATCTTCTCTCATTCGAGTAAAAAGATAAAAATGCTGAGCGTGCCTCCAAAAATACATGGTTTTTTTACTAGAGCGTTTTTTTTTGTAAGTTCAACGTTGTAATTTTTTCAAAACAAAAAAATAAATAGGCATTCCCAACAGTATTGAGCACCTGTAGAAAAAAGTTTCAGGCTACATCGGACATACTATGTCGGAGGAACGGAGCAGACTTAAGACTGGTTTTTGGGTAAAAATTGATTTCGAAAAAAGCGAAAAACAAATTTTCCTTTATGTATCAAGTCTTCTTTTCTTCGACCAGAGAGTGATCGAAAACCTGCTGTGTTCAGCAGTGTTAGAGATTCATGGTTTATGCTCTCAACACCTTTAGAAGTTATCATTAGAAGAATTTTTTCATACAAAGAATAATCGCAGCACGAGTTTTTTCTATTAGGAGTTTTGAAATTTGGAGTTAATAAAAGTACTAGATAACAACAAAGTGTCCTCATTTATACGGCATTTGACAGAGAATATCTCGAAGCTATACCAAACATCGAAAAAATTTTGATTGTAACATTCTGAAAGACGGGGGTGGTCTCATTATGCCATTTCTTTAAGGGGGCCCCTCAGAAAAGTCAATTTCGGTCAAATTTATCGATTTTGTGATTTATAACTCGTTAGATAGAGCAAAGTGTCTACTCTCGAATATACTATAGTTGATTGATTTTATGATAAGATTTAAGGATATTACATACGATTTTCTGAGCAGTCATATTGAAAAAATAAGATTTTTAAAAACTTATTTTCCGTTTTTTTCAAAATCCATTTTTTCGAGTATACTGTTTACGCGGGCAAACCTTACTCAATAACAACTCAATATAAAAGTGGTAATGCTTTTTTGTTGTAGAGCAGACACTTGGGGCTAGGTCGTAATAGAGCTCGATTTTCGAATTTCTCCTTTGTTTAAATAAAAAACTTACAAGGGAACCTTCCCAGGTGTTGGAGCGCTTTTCAGTCGAGGTTTCGCGCATCTTGTAGCCCATAGTGAGCTATGTCTATAGTAAAAGAAGTTCGGGTTTCTGGCTTGTTTCTGAGGAGATATCAAGCTCTTAGTGAATTTTCTCTATTGTACGCCTACATTGGCAGCAAAGCTATACTTTCGAATTTTGACCTGAAACTTTGCCTGCATAAAGGCCTCAGCTAGACTAGTTTGCATAAAAAATCTCAGAAGTTTTGAATAAAGTCTCTCTAAGATATGAAACTATCAAGATATAGTCCCTTTTTCATCAATAATATATATAGTATGCATTTTTTTCAAAGCTTCATATCTTAGAGAGAATTTATTCAAAACTTCTGAGATTTTTTATGCAAACTAGTCTAGCTGAGGCCTTTATGCAGGCAAAGTTTCAGGTCAAAATTCGAAAGTATAGCTTTGCTGCCAATGTAGGCGTACAATAGAGAAAATTCACTAAGAGCTCGATATCTCCTCAGAAACAAGCCAGAAACCCGAACTTTTTTTACTATAGACATAGCTCACTACGGGCTACAAGATGCGCGAAACTCCGACTGAAAAGCGCTCCGACACTTGGGAAGGTTCCCTTGTTAGATCTTTTATTTTAATTAGCGATTTTTTTGTCCACGAATTTGAGAATTTTTCAAAAAGATTTTTTTAAAAACCAAACAAAGGGAAATTAAAAAATCGAGCTCTATTACGACCTGGCCCTATGGGTACTCTACAATTTAAAAACCACGCCGACATGCTAAGCTAGTATCCTCATGTTGAAAACCTTGCCCGCGTAAAGGGTATTTGTGATCAATTAATTGACTATAACTCGTGAATGGCTCGCAGATTTCGGGAGTTATTTTAACCATAATCTATTCTAGCCAAGACTAACATTCTTTGCAATTTTGGTTGAAATCGGATGAAAAATAACAAAGTTGATTTCTGAGGGGAGGGGGCCTTAATCTTTTCCATTATTTTTTATACGATGGCAGTAGAAATATGTCATGCTATTCGTTTATCCTTTTTTACATATTTTCTTATCAATGTTTAAGTTGAATTTTATTTTTGTATATACCCTGTCATCTCGTGATACTGTCCTGACTGATGACAGTGGTTCTGATATCACAAAATGATTCATCAAAATAAATATTTTCGTTTAACAACTTCTCATTAAAAACCATTTTTCGACGCATATGTCGTCTACTTGCTGTGTCACTTGCTTTCATATTATAATTATTGACTAATACTTTTCAGTATTGGCCAATTATAACTACTTGTACCTACTCAAGCAACTTTAATAAATATTAGAAATTGAATATTCATATAAATTATTTCAACATTTTGATTTTCGTGTTGTTCGCTCAAATTCATTGAAGTATACTTAATGATCAATATCAATAGACAAAGAAATAAAATGATCTGACACCAGTATACGATCATTTCATTTCAATAGTAAACAACAAATTTTAACGTATAGAACAAGATAACCTGAAAATGATTGTACACGTCTGTATATGACTTCTTTTGTTCGTCCTCTTTCCGATTCAGTCGATTCGTTTTAGTGTGGCTCAGTATGTTTTACATCTTATTAAATATGTGTTACGTAAGTGATGCGCACTTCCATACATGTTCTGACATCAAATAATAAATTAATTTAATTAGCAATAAGTTCTATTACTCAAAATTAGGTACTTCAATTGACAATGTTGATTAAGGGTTTCCCACGCCTCTTTTTTCGTTATTTCTGACTCTCGAAAAGAACGCAACGAATTCGTATGAAATTTAGACCACACATAGAAGACCTAAAATTAGGAGACACATGTTCGAGGAAAAACTTTAGTTTTATATACAACGCGCACTTACGATTTTCGTCTGATTGTACCCAATTGGGCTGAAATTTTGATCACAGATATTTGAAAGTATTCTCCTGAGATGAAATCGGTAATCTTTGTTTGCAATCTTCCTATCTTGATTTGCAAAGCTCCAAACGGCAATACTCCGGTTTTGAATCTGAACATGTACAGATTTCTCTTAAAAGAACAGACAGTCAGATATTTTGAAAAGTTTTGAGTTACTTATGAAATATTGCCTAAGATATCTGAAAGAAAAAAATTCAACTCGATCGGACAAAAACGGGGATCGTATGAGATTTGGATATACTCGTATGAACAGCCAGAGTTTTTCCGAAAAAACTGCGAAGAACCTTGTTCAAAATTTTTTCCTCGGATTCGTATCGTCCTATTATAGATGCTGTTATTTTGGTAAAAGCTTCATAGAGATCGGTTGCATGTTCTTTTGGAACTAGAAATGGTCAAAAAAAGAGGGGGAAGGGATATTCTTAAGTCAATGAATATGTATTAACATATATTTTTAGTAATGAATATTATATTTTATCAAATGAAATTCAATATAAGAACGTGCCTGAAATAAAACAACAAAGACACTATTAGATAACTGTAGTATATTAGCTTTTTAAGAAATATTCTGAAAAGTGACATATGATAAATATTATAAGTCAGTTTTTTTCTCTTTAATTAATCGTATTTGATAGAAAAATTTTATACAATATTAAAACATCGCAGTCAATGTCAAAAAAAATCATAAAAGAATTCATTATTTCTAATTTTTTTGTCACGTATGTAACACAGTTAGGTTTTTTCTTTTTCTCGAATAGACAAGAAAATTTTTTTATTGAAATACATGCATGACATATATAAATATGAATTATGTTCACCTATATAAACTCTTTTTTTGACACGTTCTATTTTTCTTTGGAACTTTATTATTATAACAAAACTAGATAGTGTAAAAACAGAAAAAATCTCCAAGGAAAAGTGTTTGCTGAGTGTTTTTATTTTCTACTTTACTTCTGTCAGATGTTGTCTAATCATTAGAAAATTGTCATGTCATGTCATCGCTACTTCAAGCCGAAATCCGTTAGACAACAAATTAGTTC